CTCTGGAAAGGCGGGGATGGTGATCCCGATCCGGCATCCCTGAGATAATGTCCCCTCATACGTTTTCCCCTTGTCTCCTCAGCTTATCACCCTGACTTCCGTCCGTCTCCTCAAGCAGCATGCCTCCTTTGCCTTTCCCTGGACGACATGTCTGGAAGGGCGGTGGCCCGTTGTACCGTGACACTACTGGAAGGGCGTCGGCCCGTTACACTTATGTATCTGCGTAAAACGTCGAACTACTTCTTGAAAATAAATGGGATGTAGGAAGCGAATGTGACAAGAGAGTGGAAGCGACAGAGGAGGATACCAGAAAACTTTCTTTCAATTTGAATGATATATAATCTCCATTCGGATAAGCGGATTATATCGCGCAATGGAGAATAGAACCCGGCCAAATAGACAGGAGTCCTGATATAACACTGTTTACAAATAATTTCGGTCCATTGACAGACAGATGTAGGCGCGAGCCGACATCGGACGGCCCATTCGAGATTCACACTCCATCTCCGGCATCACATGCATTGTTGGCTGTACCATGTGAGTTGATTCCATTCCTGTTTCCTACGAGCGTGGGAAGTGGGTGCAAAATTGGGGTTCGCTAGTGAGGTTAAGTCTAATTATGTCAGAGCTGAGTGGGCCTCCATATTAATATCTCCTCTGTGAGTATGCAATCAAATTCTACTTCTAAAGAAGCGACGTCATAGTCTCTGTAGATAAATTGTCTGCTCTTGCCTAGATTTAACGAATTCTTTCGCATCATTTTTAGACGCATGGACGTCAGAGGACGAGCGCAAGGTGAGAACAACCCACCATCTGACTGTCTTCTCTGCTAAGTCGCTCAACCTGTAATGGACATCTCAGCTTCCCAATTACCGGGATAAGGAACGGTGAGCAGCTAAGTTTTGGTTGGAACAGAATATTTGAATGTTGTGGAGTATCATTTCCAAACGAAATCCCGCGATCCACTTGCCTCTGTCCAAAAAATTATGCAACATATGGCCATTCTAAAGGATAACTTCCTGAATAAAAAGTGAAAGCTGCCAAAAATAGTATTTCCTGGGGAGGGGGAGGGGGAGGGCGGTGGGAAGGAGGGAAGGCAATGAAAACTTCACTTTTCTGACACTTTTCCCCTAGGAAGATAGGAACAGGGTAATAACCGGGAAGTGAAAGATGGTGCGGAGCGAGGCTAGATGATTCCTCCCCGACTCCTGATTATTGCGATTAGGCCAGTCTTGGAACCTTTTTCTCTTAGATATGAATTCACGGAAAAACTGTTCCTAAGCATCCCGCCCTATCCTTCCTCTCCCCTGTTTACTTTTTGCTAGAAGTTCCAGTTCCCTAACATGAATTGTGTCCTCTTTCTGTTTCTAAAGGGATCCAGTGACTTACGATGTTTTCTTTTGCTTTGTATTTTTTACAAGTCTGGATGGCCTTTGATGTGGAGAATTCCTCTGTATAATGCGAAAGGAGCCCCATGGAGCGTAGAGAGACGTTTTCAGTATTGTCTGGAATGCATGGATGAGATAGGAGACGTCGAGGACTTGCGTAAAAACGGACACGATGACCAAAGAACCAGGATTCCAAAAGTAAAAAGACGTATTCCATGTCGCCTCATCCTCCTCTTCGTCCATGACATCATTTTTCTCATTTGTTGTCATGCAAATGCAGTCAAGAATTAAAACGTTTCATTTGAAATTTCCAATAATGATAACACATGGATTTCTTAACTTTCGCATTCCATGAGTCTACTTTATTGCCGATTCTCATATTGGGATAATAGACAGAGACACTCCTCAGCCGACAGCATTTGTTCACCAGTTCGAATATTCGAATAAATGAAAAGTGCCTAAAATTGTGGCCAAATTTGATGTCGAACTGTTAGTTTTGTCTTAATTGTATCGTGCAACTTTTAAAAGAAACCTGTAAATATGCATGCAAGGCACAAAATAAAGGTGTGGAGCTGTAAATCTGAGGTATCAAAGGTAAAGGAAAGTATATGAGACGGTAGCGGTAAAACTGGGATGGTGAAACAAGTAACGAATGGAAACTAGAAGTAGATAGTAACAAAAAAAGGAAGCCCCATTTTTTTCTCAGTTTTGCCGTTTGAATTATACTTTAGGTAAAAAAAAATATATATTGCAAGTGTAGGAGCAAAGATTCGGAGGGATGGACCGTCACTCATGCGTTCATGAGTTCATCGATATGGTCTCCTCGATCCAGTCAACAAACCTGACGGGAAGGAAGAGCAAGAGGATCAGCAATCATCAAACACGGTCAAAACAGAATTCAAATTCAGATATGTTTTTGAAGAATTGATTAATGCCATAATTGTTTACAGGTTACTTTAAGCACGCCAATTTGCTAATATACTTAACCTGTGGTTATGAAACTCTTAACCTGTGGCTATCTGCGAAAAACTTATAAGAAATTGCAGCACCATGCATCTTGTCATATACGCGTTTTCTTTTAACTTTTTCATTTCCATGGTATTTTTGAGACAGCTTAATAAAGGAGGAGCATGGGATGAAGGCATTTCTCACTTATTGACTCTCGTGAATACACCGTACTGGCCAGGTTCATAATTGGAGCAATTCTGCCCCGACTTTGCATATATATGACTGACGATTCCTTCGACCACCCACTGACTACCCAGAAGACCATGAGAGGCGAAGACTATGGGACTCCCAGAATCACCTGGACACACCGTCTTGTATTCTACGAGGGAATAATATAGTCTAATAAATACGTTGGAAATATTGTGAATTCCGTGAATCCCAATAATCCTACAATTTTTTTGGTGATGGTCGCTTATATTAGTAGCAAAAATATAAAATGTATGATACACAGAGGATATCCCAGTTTTATTTGGCCATTTTTATTCTGAATATTATACCTTTCTACTACTTCTTTCAGGATCTATCATACTCAATTTCGCGTCCTTGATTCTGAAGAATAGACCTGCGCCTTCCCTTCCATAGAACCAGAGTGTTACGGAGCACTTGGATATATAACTTCCCCTTTTCCTTTCTGATAAGCTTCTCAAGTCAACCCTAGAATTTCCCGGCGCCGATTCACGAAGGCACGCTTCAGGAATCCAAATGCGAAGAATTGGGTGGCGAAATTGGCAGTAAAATGACTGGGTTTTTCTGCTGACAGGAAGGTACAACCAAGTTGAATCAGTCATCACAATTTTCTTGTACCTTTCATTGGCCAGGTGGCGCTTGCATCATTTCAGGCACTAATATATATTTCACCTTGTTTTGCTGACATGAACGTTGATCTTGTGTTATCATGACATTTTGAGATCCTCTGGAATAACCCTTCTAATAGTTCCCTTTGCCTCTGACGGTTGATATGGAAGTCAATTTTTGCTAGGTGAATTCACCAAGTCCGCGAAACAAGTTACTTTGAGCAGAAACTTCTTATTTTGTACCGGTATTCCGTCAGGCTATTTGTCTTAAATTCACGCCTTTCTTCGTTTCTCCCCACTTTACCTCATGAATGATGATATTTAAGACATCTTTTGGGAACGCGGCATCTTTCCAAGAACACGTACAAAATTGTCATTTTCTGTGAGTAACCTTCCGTGGAAATACGATTCACGCACGTCTCCGCGACGTAATCAAAGCCAACGCAATGGCCCCTTAATTTCCATGACGAAGTTGCCCAACAATTACGTGTCACACGAAAGCTACTTATCCTTCTCCCATTCGAGTAAACACATTTTGGAAATGTTCAAATAATGTGGGTCAGCCTGTATTCCTGACAGGAGTGACTTGAAAATAACGTCCATCCTGCACTCCATGCTTCTTTCTTGGATTCAAATTCAAACGGCGTGGATGGAAAAATTGAAGATGTTGGAAGTCACACACGATTGGAATGATAGGACTGGTGTGATTGAAATGATACCTTTCGCATTCTCATTCACGATTGATGAAGAATAGTTGCGTTCTCCTGCACAAAACGTGCTTCTGGAGATGGAAGCAGGGTGGTTCCCTGTGATTTCGTAGATTTTCTTTCGGCATTCACGCTTTGGTATGACTGTCAGTGGCACCTCAGTCAAGACATCTGTTGCTAGGTCCGAGGCGTCTCTTCCCCAGCCTGCCACCTGAATTTAAGCGGATAATAACAAATGGAGAGACAACCGGAAAAGAAAAATTAGGCATAAGATTGAAGGCGTCTTACCTTTCCTGGATGAGAACCGCCAAATCTATCTTCAACCCCATCTAAAATGTCATCAGAAATTTCATCATTGAACGGAAGACAGATCAATTGAACCCATTCATTTAGAATAGCCGAATCGTTGAGTTTCATCAAGGCGATGTCCGACACCCAGCCGGTGTATTTGTCATGCACGAATATCTGAGTCACCTGAAAGCAACGGAGAATAGTCCATTATGATGAATCTAGAATGCATTTCCACCTGGAAATAGCACGAAATGCATTTGGAGACAAACCTTCATCTTTTGCACGAATTCATCGTCCTGGGACACATTTCTATAGTGCTTGCCGAGATAGACGAAGAAATTGTTCACGTCGTGGCCCACGACGCAATGTGCTGCAGTGAGAACCCAACGCATTCCAATCAACGCTCCTCCACAAATGATATCTCCAAAAGTCACATGATAGATTGCAGCTTGCCAGGGCCACGACCCAGGTGCTGCTTCTTTTCCTCCGCGAATCAATGGATTCATGAGCTGAGCTGATGGAACCATTTTTCCACTTTGGCCACAAACTAAAAGCACAGGAAAATCCACCCTGCAATTCTATCATCTTACAAGTTCTACCGACCGCTGGAACCATTTCTCGATGAAAAACAAACCAGGTTCACAGAGGGGGTCAGGGCCAGTCCATTCTTCATTCGCTCCACATGTACGAACTCGTGGGCCTCGTATAGTATAGTAGTTGTCGCAAATATAGCTCACTTTACTTCCGATTAAGTATTTCCCGCCTTGAATGCATTCTGTTTTGTTTTTGGATCTAAAAGAAATACGTGCTTTGGTCAGTGGCCACTTCCAACACTCCAACATTAAAAGTGGTTTTGGGTGCGCATTGTAGGACAGCGGATGTTTATTCCAATTATCTCTAACAAGAAACGTGGCCCAATAAGATGAAATTTCTTTCTAGCACAACAGAAATTTCATCCTGAAATGCAAACAAACACATTTCAGTCCTCATAGTGATCATGCGAGCATGTTCATAATTATATGATACCTATGGAATGTGTAATTTTATGAAGATTAGGAGGGCAGGAAATCCCACACATTCGTGGAAAATATTAGAGCATGGTTGAGTATCTCTACCTCCGTTGATCATTAGGGCATGAGAGAATGCGAAAGCTTCCGTGTATGATGGGAGGGGGTGGTCCACATCCGCATTCGGTCACCCACATCTACATATGGCAATTGCATTTTTCCGATCCTATAATGCTTTACTGCACTTGATTTTTTTTTTAACGGCCTTATATCATGCATACGCCGAATATGAACTTACATCGCTGAGACATTTTTTAAGCATTTCCGACAGATCAAGGTCTTGCAATGTTGTCCCATTTTTGCAGTTCCCGCTTACTTTTTCTAACATTCCGGGAATGAATGCGAACCGGGATAAGCCACAATCGCACTGGATGGGATTACCTGGAAAATAGAAGGCAAATTTGCAAGAAAAAAGAGGATTGAAGCAGGAAGCAGTTGGACATTCCTAGCATTCACCATCTAGGTAGAGAAAACCATATCCGTGGGAAAATTCCATCAAGATCCGGTGGAGGATTCGCCCGTCAATTGTAGCTATCTTATTATCTTGCAGGTGCACTTGCATGTGGGCCGAAAAACCTGAAATTGAGGTGGACAATACTACTTAATTAGAATCAGTGCAATATCATCAACAATCCATGAAATTTAGCATAGCGTTTATTACATTTTTCTTCAAATCAAGCAGCTCTCTCCTTTAGTAAATTGGCATCGCGAGATATCGTGTTTTTGGATGTAACATGAGACACGGAGACACAGACTATGTTTTCACTCTAAAATGAGCAGTAAGAGAAAGAAGTTAACACGATTAGCGAAAGGTCAAAGTCTACTATGCTATTGCTTATTTTCGATTTCCTATTTTAGTAATTGGTAAATCAAAGAGCAATTTCATTTATTCTTGTTCTTAAAAATGCAGCATGAAAGGGGATGGACTTGGATGGAGGATGCACCTCCATGTGGGCCGAAAAACCTGGAATAGACATGGACCTTACTCCACTTGAATTAGAAACATTGTAATGATTTCATCAGTGGAGAAGCTTTCCATGGAAAATATTGAATATTTCATGCAAAATCCCTCACTTCTCACGATTAAAGCTTCTTTCAATCAGGTCCACTCCAAGGACATGGAACACAATTCTCAAAATTTAAAGTTCTCTCTTTTTTAGAAAATTGTTAGTATTTAATTCATCACCAAATAATAATTATTCTGCCACGAATAAGTCATGATTCATCACCAGATTTTATCATTTCGTCACTCGATGAATTTACATCACCAAATTCTTATTGCCATCACCAAATGACTTCATCACCAGACCTAATGAATCTTACAACAAATTCTCCTTTAGTATTTTCACCAGATGCCATGAAATGACCACCAAATTGTATTTAGTTAACACCAATTCATTGTCACATTTCATGTGTCAAAAGAAATAAATTTTTCTTTTAGCAGACCTGCAGGGCAGAACACACTGACTATCCCTGCTGTGAATTAGCATTCAGAGTGAATGTTTGCCAGTCTTCATCCAAGCAGGGCAAGNTCATTGTCACATTTCATGTGTCAAAAGAAATAAATTTTTCTTTTAGCAGACCTGCAGGGCAGAACACACTGACTATCCCTGCTGTGAATTAGCATTCAGAGTGAATGTTTGCCAGTCTTCATCCAAGCAGGGCAAGTGTATTCAAAATTTGAAGCTCTCACAACTCAGAGTCTTGTTCTCTTTGAGTTCTAATGCTCCAGTTTTCTGATTAGATATTCTTGTGCACTTTTCCGAACCTCTTCCCTAGTGGGGTTGCCGTCACTTGCAGGCAATGAAGGCGTCTCCTTGTTTCAATGTCCTCAAATTCTCTAGTTGCCATAGCACCTCTTCACATAGAGCACGCAGAAGCTGGAAGTCCGTGCCGGTGACAACTCCCATACATGTACACAAGCGCAAGGAGACTAGTTACACAGGTCCTCCCCTGAAGGTCCCCCAAAAGTATGATATGCTCTTACAATCTCATCTTGCCAACATTAGTCTAACTGGAAATAAAGAAAAATCCTTTCCTTGATAGGGTTTAAAATGCGGAAAATGTCATAAGTTTGATACTGAGAGCAATTTTTTGGTATGGGATACTGCAAATTTGGTGATAGCAGCACCTGGGATGGTGCAATCATATTTGGTGAAATCAAAAATAAGAATTTAGTGACTGGCTCCAATTTGGTGACGATTCATTGTGATCTGGTGATGGAATCAATATTTTTGCGGGCTGAAAATATTTGGTGCAAAGTTCATTATTATTTGGTGGGCGATTAAATATATTTCTTAGAAAATTGGCCTCGAGAGATATCATGCTTTTATATGTAACATGACACACGGAGACACGGATTATGTTTTCGCTCTAAAATAAGCAGCAAGAGAAAGTAATTAACATGATTAGCGAAAGGTCAAAGTCTACTATCCTTTTGCTTATTTTCGATTTCTTATTTTAGTAACTGGTAAATCAAAGAGCAATTTCATTTAATCTTGTTTTTAAAAATGCGACGAGACACGATGGAACGACACTATTGTTGACACTTGTTCTCTGAAGAATCAGTAGTGACGGGGGATTTAATTATCAAAAGATGAATCGCAATAGCATTTAGGTCAAATGGTTTCCCAATGTAAGCATTTTCAATCCGACTCCATAATTGGAAAAATTGAAGTTACAAATCCTGAGATAGGAAAAAAACTCAATGGAACTTTGTGTCACTCTAAAGCCTGAAAATGGGAAACACGCTTCGTGGCATTAAGACCATTAATATTCATTTCATTACCCACACTATTGTTCTGAGAAAAACGTCTGTAATACTACGAGCGATAAAAGTATCTAAACTTCAGATTCTAAAGGAAACTTTGGATACTTTTCTTCTCATCGCCATGTAAATTCCTAATTCATTCGTCGTCGTAACCAGTTTTTTTTGCGCCTAAATCAAGAATCATGTTCTTGCGGACGATAATAGACCATAATTGAGGTATTTCCGCTGCGATCATTACTCGAAGACGCTTTATCATGTCAGGAATTACGAAATGTATGATTCCGGGGATATGAAGGGGAAGTGTGGATGCTCTAAGATTCGTATCAGCAACCAAATGTGTCAGATGGCGTCCACGAAAAAGGGAAAATTAATGTCTCACAGAAACTGCATCAGTATCGGGTTCCAAGGTGGCCATTCCACATATTACGCTGCAAAAATAACATATTTCCATTATTACGGATGGACACAGGAACGTGCTAAAAGAGATATCACAGGAGAAATAAGAAAAGAAACTGACGTTACATTTTGAATATCAAAGAAATCTAAGATTCGATACTCACTGTCGCACTTCAAAGTTGGGACCGATGTCAAGTAATTGCCGCTGAGCATGAGGATCCTCAATTTGGGAGTTGCCCATTTGTCGAACTCCACATTCGTGATTTTATTCTTAGAGAGGTGGAGTTCTTCCAGGCTGCTGCTCTTGAAGGCTGGTACTGACGTCAAGTAATTTTCGGAGAGCGAGAGGATCCTCAATTTGGGAGTTGCCCATTTGTCGAACTCCACATTCATGATTTTATTAGAATCGAGGTTGAGTCCTTCCAGGCTGTCGCTCTTGAAGGCTGGTACTGACGTCAAGGAATTGTCGGCGAGCGAGAGGATCCTGAATTTGGGAGTTGCCCATTTGTCGAACTCCACATTCGTGATTTTATTAGAATCGAGGTTGAGTCCTTCCAGGCTGTCGCTCTTGAAGGCTGGTACTGACGTCAAGGAATTTTCGGAGAGCGAGAGGCTCCTCAATTTGGGAGTTGCCCATTTGTCGAACTCCACATTCGTGATTTTATTATTACCGAGGTAGAGTTTTTCCAGGCTGTCGCTCTTGAAGGCTGGTACTGACGTCAAGGAATTGGCGGAGAGCGAGAGGATCCTCAATTTGGGAGTTGCCCATTTGTCGAACTCCACATTCGTGATTTTATTAAAATTGAGGTGGAGTTCTTCCAGGCTGTTGCTCTTGAAAGCTGGGACTGAGGTCAAACTCTGATGTGCAAATCTGAATTCTTTGAATTGTGGAAGTTGCCTGTAAGTAAAATTTAGAAGCACTTTTTCATTTTGTTATGGAGTAGACATTTAGATAACAAGAAATATATATAATTTGGCAAACTTTTTTCCTCTACCCCTCCAATTTCAATTTCAAGTTTGACTCGTTGATAGTGCCTGTTGAGAAAATGAAGTATTACAAATTTCAGCTCCATGAAATATGTATTCTGAGAATGACAGCTGATGAAGAAATTGACGTTTTTCGGTACCTTGGGCCCATGGAACACAACAATTATTATAACTCCGTTAGTTATGAATATCAAGACGTGGATATGGTATCGTTGGAAAGAGTATAAAATTCCCCATCATAAGATCTGCAACACATGGTAATGAAAGCAATGACCTTGACCCTCATGTTTAGTAATGATCTTGAAACTTGACCTGCCTACACACGATTTCGCTGAAATTCCAGGACCTCATCAGCTGTATCTTCTTTTATGCGCACCGCGAATTTCATTCTGAGTTTCTTACTATCAACAAAGATATGAGTATTTTAGTACATCAGCATCATAGGGTTTTCAAAATGGGGCAAATTATGTCCCAGATGATGTGTTTTGGCTGGTGCAAGCCGTGCCCATATTGTGTGTGTCTGCAGCAGTCATCAGAACATTAAAGTAATGATTGATGCGTAACACATCCCTTTGTGCGGGATATAACATACGGGCATTTTCTTCCCGCAATAACGTGTATTCCTGGCAAAGGTAAATGTTTCCTAGGTGAATGTGATCAATGTCCAGGGACTGGGCAGCTAAAAGATAGGATGCGGGAATTCGATAAGGAAGACATTGGCCCCTCTCTATTTTAAACAGTAGGTCACAACGGTCCGATGGGCGCTAGAGGCCCTTCAGAAAATGATGATTTTTATTTTGTGATTCAAGACGCCATTCAGGGTTACCACTGGACTAACGACTAGGCCACAATCTATCCGTCAGTGGCATACTTGGTGAACGATGGGGCTTCAGAATACTTTAGATTTGTCATTTCAGGTTCA